TGCCTATGCTATCCACAGAATCAGCGATCCCGACTTTTTCCTGACTGCTGATTTTTCTTTAGCCACGCTGCTTTTTGGATTATCATTCCTTGTATATAGATGTCATTTGCTTTCTGTAGCTGTAATAGGTGTTCCGCATTATTAGCCTCAAAAGAGAGCGGCATATCGTGGATTAGCATTTGGCATACGGGGCCCGCGAATTGAGCAGAAGGAGCTAGCTTGGTTGTCCATTCCTTTTGGTGCTCCATAAACTCTTTTGTTCCTTCACCTGCAAAATAGACCTTAACTTGGCCGTTTGTCATTTGTCTGGCGCCTATGATCGGTTGTACACCAATCTGCTTGACCAATTCCTCACTTGAGAGTTTGACTATCTCCTGTTGGAAATATCGCGCAATGAAATGGGCGCAATATTTATGGAACGAAAGTACAAGTTTACTAAATGAGTGTCATGTTCGGATTATAGCTCAAAGTGTGGAAAGTGTGCGGTACAAGTATAAGTGTAAGCGACATAGAGCCTAAGCCACAGCATAAACTAGCGTGGCGCCATCTAGGCTTAAAAACCTCCTTTAACCTCCTTGTGCCCACGCTATACAGCCACTTATATATCCAGTAGGTAGCCTGAAGCGCTACCATATTACCCATTCCAACCTCTTAATTGCACACAAGATCGTGTCGGGAACCTAGACGAAATGGAGGGCCCGTACGTCCACTACACTATGTGTCTCCATTTCCAACATCTCCCTCTTTTCCTGCTCATCTTAGATACGGATCGTAGTTCCGTAAGACTCTCCCTTGCTTGCAATTTCTGCCCAGGAGCAGCCCTGGGCTGGCATAGGTACTTAGTTCTGCGCGATGAAGGCTTTTATACCTTTAATTTCCTGTAATATCTTAGCCATTGCAGAATTTCATCACTATGGCTTGTCTGTGTGGGTTTTAGAAGGGGAACTTTCGCTTTCTGAAGGCTTTTAATAACTTGGATCGCCTCTACGATTATTCTCCTGTATGCTCTACTGGAGAGCTCTTCGCCTTTAGTTGCGTCCTTGAATCTTTTTAGGGACGTGTTCGTGTCTTGCGGCGCCTATGTCGCGACGCTGCCACCTCTAGAACCCGCGCAGGGCGTTAGGCCATTATTTCATCTCGTAGGAATACTCGTCATCACTATCACAATTTGCTGTCAATTTTGGGATAAGAATCTATGAGGTCGACTTTCCGGAATGAGGATGTTTATCACTGTGACCATTAAAATTCCTAAATTATTTTATTGTATGTACGTCATGACTCGGTTGCCTGGGTGCGAAGCAACATCCCAGAGATAGTTTGTGAAAAAATTATAACAATTAGGTCATTTAACAATAACTTTCAAGGGCCTTCGGCTGTCGAAACTTGACGTGCACTCATTTTCAGGCGTACCATGTACCGTTGAGGTTGTCTGAACAAGCGATTTCTTTGTCCCGACGTAAGACCTAAGCATATTATTTTCACTTTCGGGCCCTCAGCCGCTTGAAGAGCTAGGGGTGTCAGGCATCTATTTTTCGTATACAAGCTGTAGATCACAGCACCTTTTTTGGAGAATAATAGATGCCAGGATTATTTCCGCTTCACGATAAAGAGCGCTTTTTGGAGTGGTACGCCACGCTGGGAGTGTTGCTCGGATAGCTTTTATTGTCGTTTTGTCCAGCAGAGATAAATGCCAGCCTACTACATTGCCGACTTCTTTATCTCAGAGTATGGTTACTCGACTAGACCTGGCCACCATGCTTCTGCACCATATAGTTCTGTGCTCATAATGCATGCTTATACCGCACGAATCAGAGGTCTCGGAGCTGCACCACGGTATACACTGTATATTTGTCGCAAGAAGTAGAGTAGACAAGTAGATTTTCCAGTCTAATCCTGTAAATGCTGCTTGAAGTTGAGCTGATTATCAATTCAGACTCCTAGCCACCGAATGTGAGGCAACAGTTCGATTTGGCGATCTTTCACCAAGATGGAGAGGTCAACCGCGTTAATTTTATTTCTAGGTCCTCCTCCGGTCACTAAAAGTTCTGACTTTGCAGAGTCAAACCTCGATGCCATATCCTCTTACGAGAAGGATAAGTTTGTCAAGGCTATCTTGGATATCTTGAACTGCGGAGATAGCTTACGCCGCGGTGTTTCCAATTCTGACGATGGCTACATCATCAGCATAACCAAACCTGCGCGTTAGACCATGATCCTCAAAAAATCACAGGGAAATAAAGCATGAAGAGTAGCAGTGATAGTGGCAGGCCCTGAGATACTTCATATTCCAGTATATCCTCATCTCTGTGATTCTTCCACAGTATTTCACTTGGAATCTTCGCTGACAAAGAAAGGTCTGAATAAAATGGCACAGAGATAGTGGCTAGACCTATTCTCGAAGAAGTTTAAGCAATCAATACCATTGGGTTTTTTGTCCTTATGACTCATTGCGCGACGCTTTTTAAGAAAATATTGTAGTTAATTCATCCGTAGCCGATAGGCCCCCATTTATCTCGGGGAAATTTGATATAAGTACTGTAATTGCAGAACCGTGAAGCAGCCTGGAAGAATCGGAAAAACAACTGGATATAAGAATCTTCTGATACCGACCTCAGGACTAATCTAGAGATGTAGCCATTTCTCTTAAACCTTCTCAGAAGTTGAGTTTTCGGGCGCTGCAGACTTGAATCAACCTAAGAGAAGCACTGTCTAACTTCCCATCTTCCTTTCATCTACTTATATTACTTACGCCTCGTGATATATTAGATATTCTTTTAGAATTCCAGAAAAAAATACAGAGAGTGGGTCATGAAAAGTGACCTAGAATATGTTCTTTATCCCGCTTCGAGTAGTGGAGAATTCCGTTGACACATTGAGAATAGAACCTTACTGGCTGATTTGGTCTCAAACTTAGCTCTATAAAATCTATGGTGAGAAATGAAAGTTCATAGTAGATATTGCCGATAGATGGTAGGTATTCGCTTTCCTCTATCCTTCTTTAATCCTTAGTGATAACCGTGCGAAATTTTCTTCAAGCTGTCGAAACTGAAGCTGAGAACAGTAAACCATAAATCAAAAAAGAAGACGAATAACCGGGCTGCTATGTTTGAAACCTTTGAAATAATCTTAATCGAGAACTACAGAGTCACATTAGCCAGCTGAATTTTTAGGTCCAAACTGCATTTTGAAGAATGAATTTTCGTGGGCTCTTCTGCTGTCCAAACCTGGAGACTCGTTGGAGCCCAAATCCATCTACCAGTGATCTACTACCAACTTCCCCGAAATTCTGGTTTCCAAGTTTGAGCTCAGTGATTTGATATAATATATACTTGGAGAGATAAGCATGTAAATTAATGGTAATGAACATAGATTTTTACAACGATAAAAGTTGTATGAGAAGTGATGATATTTTAAACCTTGCTTGTTGACTAGATGAGACTGGAGGACGAAGGCTGAACACCTCTTAGTAGTGTCCTCTACGAAACTAGGAGTGAAATATTATCTCAGAGCCGAGATTCAGTCACGAAAAAGAGTGAATTTGAGAGTTTTTGTCGAGTTGGTGATCGGGAGGAGAGGTGTTGGCTCACATTTGGTCGAAAATCCGACCCGCAGAGATTTCACGACTACACAACTCAATGAAACCAACCATCTACACCCCAGACTCGAACCGCAGACAGGCTATAACCTGTCAGATGTTCGTATTACAAAAACCGACAACTTCAACATCTTATTCTTTTTCTCTGGAAAATCACTTCAAGCTAAACTCATCTCGCGGCCCTCTCAACAATCATCTCACCACCTACCTAAGCAATGCCACACCTCCAAAAGCCAAATCTCAATCAAAGAAGAAAGAGGATTTCCGACCCTCCGCAAATGGCAGCCGCTGTGAAGGTACGGTCGAAATACCGGCCTTAAATGCGTCCTCACCTCGGCCAAGGGCACCAACAACTCGACCTACGACGAATTGCCACCGACGAAATACATACGTCATTTCGCCGGCACACTAACTAAAGCGTTCGACAAAGGCAGGGGCACCGGTGCCTCTGTCTTGAGCTCTCAGTCGCGTTTACGACCTCCACGGTTAGGGGTACGGCAGTGATGGGGCAAGGCCGGTGGGTGGACATTCTACAAATTTCTGGGATGACGAGATCGGCTGAAGGACAGAGGGATGCTGTATGAAGGAACTAAAAGGGGATACAAACTGAGGAGGCCTTGGTTGGCGACTGGATGAGGCCTCCAGTGAAGAAAACGACCCCTGGATGAGATGCCGAGATGAACCAAAGCTGGGGCTGAATGGAGGGAAAAAGTTACAGATGGCGATGGTGTCAAGGGCTAGGGCGCGTCGTGGCCGAGGCTGAGGAGGAATTTGCGCTTCAGCGCACCCAAAGGGGGTTTTCTGGACGGTTGGCCTTGACATGATTCAACACATGGGTGAAGTCCGAGGTGGGACGAGGTAGATGTACCTAATGGTAGTTAACCCGATCCAGCCCGGCCCCACCCATGCTCAAGCTCCAGTAGGAGTGCAACGGGAATCACTTTACCTAGCACGTAAATGAACAAGACAAGACTAGATGAGACTCCGGTCGGAACGGATGAAAGTCTGAACCGATCTCGGCTCCATGTCACATCCTTCAAATTTTTGATAAACGTAGAACCATCTCTTAGCTTTAATCAGCCATAATTAGCCATAATCAGCGGAAAATCACAATTGAGATTGCAAATGATTAGTTCACTGTAAAAGTAGAATTCTAATGATAGAACTCGGAGTGTCAATTGATTGTGTAGGCGGGCTCCAGTGCATCCCATGTCTGCATGCTTCGGGATTTTTCACATTGTCTTACAAGCATGTATGAATTAGTCATCAAAAACGGTGATGAAGTTATTTATTGATGATGACTGGTTCCAAGCTAGGGCCAATGTTCCCTATCCAAGAAATCCGTGTCACACGGAACAACACAGCCCTCATGCCAAATGTCCAAACTTAGCGAGAGCGCTACATCATGCGCGTCATGTCTTCCAAAGGCCTAAACGGGAGTAGGTGGGCAAGTCGGTGTAATTCCTCTATTCCTTCTACTGGAGATTGGACCTGTACTTCATGTCACGCCTGGAATTACTATTGGCGACAGAAATGTGTCAAGTGCGACAAAGGCTCTAACGTCGCAAGGGTCACTGATCAATCTCCCTCGGCACCAGTAAGCCAACAGAAGCAGCGAATTGCTGAAGTGCCGCGTCTCGAACGAAACTCCCACATTCACTCAGTACCGCTAGTAGGATCTAAGCCAGAACCTTCCGCCTCGAATGTCTTACGTGGAGGCCTTTCGGAAAGCCATTGGGCACCTCAGCGGAATGAAAGAACAGCAATAGCCACAAGCAGCAAAGTCTGTAAAAAGGTAAATTTCCATTTATTACATTGTAAAACGCTGATCTGATTATTCTTAATCGGGGTCTTAGTTACGAACGGTTCCAGACAAACTTCCTCAACCTAGTGTTTCCGAATTTTCTTCAAAAGCTGCTGATATCAGTCTTCCTTATCAAGTACAACATTATATACTGAATCTCATGGAAAGAATTCTAGAGGAAGCATGCTATGACTTTGCTCTTAGTTGGATTCCGAAAAAACTAGACGAAATGGGTTGGGACTGTGTCGAGGCTGTTGAACTTGCGAAATGGAAGACTACACTCCCATTAGAAATACCGCCGCATGCATATGGCCCTCATTCTAGACTCGACTTGGAGACTGGGCTAAGTAATGCCGTCAAAGTTCGTAATGCAGCAGTACACCGCCATCTATGTAGTAATCAGACGATTAGAGATATGGCACTTCAGTGTCAATCTTTGATGTCCCTATTTTCCGACAACAGTAGATATGATAAATTCAAGATGCTTCGGTCTGAAATCGGGAAATGGGAAATAAATTCAATAAGTCTGAGTGATCCCAGAGCCAAATTAGAGCAAGCGCTGCAAAATATAAGCGAGGGACCTATTGATGACATGGACTGGACACCAAATCCAGTTTCTATAGAAGAGACCTTTAATGAAGAGAGTCTTACAGATATCGAAGAATTTATTGATAGAATGGAGATTGATCAGGATTAAATCCAGTCGGTCAGGCCCATTACTATGTAGGAAGTCAATATGGTCTGCGACTTGTAACATATGGAAAATATTCACTGACTAGACTGTTAAACATGCACAAGCTAACTTTACCAAAGAGCTTCCATGATTCAAAGTTAACTCGAAATTCTAGGATCTGTACTGAATAATAACCAAGGAGAAAATCGCATCACATAATCCTACTTGCCTGGAGGTTTCTCAAGTATAGATAGGGTTAAAGAGATTCAGATTTATTCAACAAAACTGAGTTCAGTATCTCTTTAAATCCTAGCCATATTGAACTTAACTAACAGATACGATAAACTCAGATTGCCCAAAATAAAGTCCAGACCCACTGATACATTATAAAAAATGATAAAATGTTGACTGAACTAGCCAAGGCCTCATGAAAATAAGGAAGTGTCAGTTTAACTCTAGGAAAATGGGTCGTCTTGGGTGATTTTATCTTGTTCTTCAGGAAAAATGGTATTTATATCCAGTCCCAAATTTGGAATAAATGGGCTTGGCTTCTAGCTATGAAGGCTTCTGACTATCTGATTCTGTTAAATAAGGGGAACTATCAATCTAGATACTGGAAGTATGTTCACAAAGAATACGTGTCACAAGTGTAATTAGATTCATAGATAGATGAACAATCACGTAAAACCTCAACGAGGATATAAATCAAGTAAAGACTGTGAACTTCTAGGGCTAATCGTAAACGTATGTCTTGGAAAGTAAAATTGGTGTATGACAGATAAATAGATGAGGTCTTGTCAATTAACATATACTTCCTGCTCTTCTGCATATGAAATTTTCATTTAGACCGAGATGCATTTATCAAGATCATCTGAAAAGAGATTTCAAGCGATTAGCCAAAAGAATCAATATTGTCAAGAGCTTAGCTTCCTCTATATGTCGTGTAGCTATATGGACCCAACAATAGAGGAACGTGATACAGCCCTCCTGCCTCGACTTGAAATGTCACTTCAACTGTTGGAAAAAAGGTATTGCCTTGACCAAAATATGTTTCTGTATCAAATTCAAGTTTCCAAAGGCTGTATTTTTTTTCTGAATCCACAGAATCTGATGATGAGTCGACCCCTTTTTGAAGGACATGACAAAATATGTCTGTAGCACCATGATATTCGACGTCGACCATTCGGCTGTTTTCTCTGCTAGAAACATCTAACTTTTGCCAGTTACTGATACGGCCATCGCTGTTGGTTTTGGCTTTCAAGCTACCCAGCGGGCAGCTTAAGCAAGTCAGGACAACATCTATATTGGCGCCTGGTACGCCCTTGGCAGTATCGAGGACATGGCAGGTGATGGGATCTTTGGATCTAGTAGCCATGAATGATAGTAATTAATAAGATGTGAAAATATTGTCAGGCTAGATAATTTATGACGATCGAGATTTTTGGGCCCAGAAGTTAAAATAGACTCCGTGTTGGGAACTGGATAGATAAAGACTTTGTTCAAAACCAAGAGATTGATCTGTTCAAAATGTAGTTCTACCGTAGAATTTTTCTGACGTTGACTTGTTTGATTATGCCTAATAAGTGATGGACTAGGTGTTGGTTATAAAGAGCTCATTGGCCAGTTGAACGTTCCTCGTGTGTAACTCTGTTTTTCTGCGTCAAAAACAATGTGCAGAGCTGGCAAAGACAAATTCTTGGCCTTCTAGTGGTGCAAGTATAATCGCTCAATACCCTCTACATATCTGGGAAAGGCATTAAGAATCGTATCCAAATTAAAGTCAAAGGTATACACAAGCATGTCTAGAATCGACGACTTCTCATCAATATCGGTTCTATCATTCTTCCAGAAGTCCTTAATCTTGTGACCGACTAGCACGCCACAACGATCATCAAGCAGCTGTTCCAATTGCAAACGGGGGCATGTCTCACGAATCACCTGCCATCTCCTGCTATTAAGTTACGACGCTGCGCATACCCTTAAGGTGGAATTCAAGCTGTGAGAAACACAGCTCGATGGTTGTCTTATGAGGGACCGCTGCTCCAATGGGGCTCTACAACTTGAAGGAGCACGGGCAGCTGGCGCTTGTAACGAGAGAGTGAATAGGCCTTGGATGGAAAACATTGAACTGACCTTTTTCAAGGAGTTCTCGACTCTGGAATATTTGTTGGCACCGAGGCTACGATTTCTGATAATGCTACCGGCACACAAAAAGTAGGCAACGATGGAAGATGTCGTGATCTGCCTCCTAGTCATCATCTCCCCGAATTAAAATCTGGGTAGCCTGGACGCCTCCCTTACTCGAGGAAGGAAGGCCTGTTGGGTCAAATCTTGCGGGGTGGCTGTATACAAGATGACAAAAGTATTTTAGGGTGGCCAGTGGCTTTTTCTGTTTTCCATTTGATAAATAATAACGGTTGAGTGAAGGGTAAAAGCCCCTAGCACAAAGGTCTCGAGTGGCACCAGCTAATGCATCCGCTACGTGAGTGGCCCAAAATCCAAACTGAGTTATCATCGTATATATTCATCAGGGAAGGACTAGCCCTATCCGTGTCATGCTCTATGAGTGCTAGGCTTTTGCCCGTCACAAATAAAAATCAATCTGTCTAGATGCCTCAGATTTGTATACAAGAAGCGTTTTCTACCTCATAGGTCCTCATAGTTCTGAATAGCTGGAGGCCTTAGTGGAGTTTGGGTCTCAGATGACAAAAAATTCCTCATAGGCTTACATGAAGCAATTAAGTGTCAAAGTGCTCGAATTGCTCGGGACCCCACCACTCAAATGATGGTAGCTGTATGGCCCTGCCAAGACGACAAAACCGTATAATTCTGCCCCGTACCCCGGCAGAACTTCACATCATCAGATAAGGCGGACATCGTGATTATCACGCTGCTCCAGCATACTCAGAAAGGAAGGGTAAGGTGGTTAAAATCGTCATTTCTCAGAATTAAACAATGTCGTGTTAATGTTAGGAAGCCCTTCAACAAAACACTAAGAGATAAATACAACTGCCTCCACTTTCACCAAGTTAATGTCGGAAGGGGTGGGGAAAACACGGATACAGCATTGCAGCAGGAATGGGACGTCGGCGCACATGTAGTCATGGAACAGGAACCATGGACAAGGAAGAAAGAGGGGGGATTTATAACAAAAAGTCACCCTGACTACAACGGTCACATACCATTTCGAGGAATAGACGTCCGGCCCCGTGCGATCACTTTCAAGCGGAAAGGCATTCAAGCGACTCCATTCTTTCCATCGCCACCAGGCCCAACATCAGACTACTGTTTTGTAAAGATGGGCAGCCCGACATTTGTCAACGTATATCGTGCCCCAGGCACCAGTGGAATCTTGGAGCCCTTACTCCGGTGGGAACTTAGAGGACTTGTGGTTAATGGAGGCGATTTCAATTCTGTGTCACAGCATTGGCAACCGCAAACAACAAATCAGTACGGCAATGGTAACCAGATTATGAAATGGGCAACAGCCCACGACATGGATCTAGTCAGTATCGTTGGAGAGCCAACGCACAGTGACGGGAACTTCCTGGATCTAACGTGGAGCAATACGGCCGCCATAGCACCAGTTCCAACCGTTACTACTGTACCACAGATCACTCGACCATCAAGGGTACCGTGCTGCACCCTACAGTGTCAGATCTCTCTGGAATTCTAATGAGCATTCGTGTCAGCGACGCCAACTTGAAGGAATTTAGCCGATGCGTTAGCCAATGGACCAAACCTGGCCCCCTTGACAGTGTCATGGACATCAAAAATTTCACGAATGATCTCCTACAAGCACTTGGAGATACGCTGAAGATCGCAGGGAAAATCCCAGCCATCGAAAGCGGAAAAACTGGGCCATGGTGGACCGATGAATGTCGCACAGAATAGCAAGAGTACAAGGCAGCGAGAGACAACCCGGACCTCACAAAAGAGGCCCTTGAGAGCTTTAGAGTCGTGCTGCAAAAAGCCAAGCGAGAGTACTGGAAGAGGCAAGCGGAGGCAGTGACTACTGACGCACAGGTATTCAAGCTCATGAGATGGGCTAAGCCTCGACCAGCTGCTGAGCCCCCTCCTCTGCAGATTGACGAAAATCGGTGGCTATCTGACCCGCGAGAGCAAGCTAGTGCGCTACGAGACATTCTCTTGGCTAGGTTTAGCGGCGAGAACGACATCTCTATCTGGGAGAATGGATAGGAGGAGCGTATTCCATGGAATACGGAAATATCACTGGACGATGTGACAAGCGCAACTGTCTCTGTCAACGGCACGGCACCGGAAGCGGACAAGATAACAGTACGGTTACTGAAAGCCTGTTGGTCCCATCTAGGACCTCTCGTCAAAGACCTCTATCAGGCTTGTGTGAAAATTGACTACTTTCCCATGGCTTTCAGGATGGTGGAAGTTGTGCTTCTTCCAAAGCCGGGTAGAAATCTGTCAACTGCTAAGGGTTGGCAACCAATCTCGCTGTTGTCGAGTATAGGTAAAGGACTTGAACGTCTAGTTGGTAACAGAATGGCATGGCTGACAATAAGTCACCAAGTTGTTCACCCACAACTATTCGGCTCCGTACCAGGACGATCTGCAGTCAACCTTGCATCCTGTGTAATCCATGATGCTGAGGCGGCCATGAGAAGTGGCAAGTGAGCGGCTATGGTCACACTCGACATTCAAGGTGCATTTGATGCAGTACTTCACAACCGACTGCTCCAAGGCCTTCGAGAGCAAGGCTGGCCACGATCCCTGTGCCGGTTTATTCAGATATTTCTTTGCCAACGAGAGGTTCAGGTCAAATACCGCGGTGGAATCACAGAAGAGAAGATACTGGAATATGGAGTACCTCAGGGCTCGCCACTATCGCCACTTCTCTTCATGCTCTACATCGCTGTGCTTTTTGAGGATCATGGTCTAACGAGCAGGTTTGGTTATTCTGACGATGTAGCTATTGTCAGAATTGGAAACACCGCGGCGGATGCTATCTCCGCAGCTCAAGACGACCTCGACAGCCTTATCCTTCTCGC